TATATATATATATATATATATATATATATATATATATATATATATGCCTACATACAGACATGCATATATATATGCATACGTATATATACATATGTATTGTGGTTGTATATATATATATGTAATATATATATATGAATATTACTTGTTGTAAATATGTAAATTATATATACATACATACATACATATATAATATATATATATATATATATATATATATATATATATACTAATCACAGTGTTTATTCAATGTCCTCAGTCTTTATTAAATATAACGTTAATCGGTATCCTACATTAATAATTCTTTAGCAGTTTAAATTTAGTATTTTTTTTTATCTTTTTCTCTCTATACACACACACACACACACACACATATATATATATATATATATATATATATATATATATATATATATATATATATATATATATATATAAGGAATGAGGAGGGGTGGGAACGAGCATAGACTAAGACTGGGACAAAATAGGGTGAATAGGAAGAAAGGAAGGAGGGAGCGAGGGAGAGACGGAGAGAGGAAGGGAAGATAGAAACAAACAGGGAGTGATATATATATGTGTGTGTGTGTGTGTGTGTGCGTGTGTGAGTGTGTGGATATATATAGAGAGAGAATAAGAGAGATGAAAACAAACTATAGATTACAGATTTTTTTTTCAAATTCTCGAGTATTTTTGAAAATATTCTTCGCGACCTCCCCTTTAATCTTTTGTTTTTTATTTGCTGTGCTCTTGAGCTGCTGCCTTTTGGGGCGGGGTACTAATATGGTGCCTGGCAAGGGTACCCCACCGTACGAAATGCCTGTCATTGGTTGTTTTTGGTACATAGGTATCTACTTAACATTAACTTGCAATTAGTTTTGTTTGGTACGCTTGCGAGCTACTCTAGCCCAATTTTGGGGCGGGGTACTAATAGGGTGTCTGGCACGGGTACTCCACCGAACAAAATGTCTGTCACTGGTTGTTTTTGGTGCATAGGCACGTAGTCAACATATTGCAATTAGTTTCATTTGGTACGTGCTTGAGCCACCCTAGGCCATTTTCATGAAGCCCCTAATTTTGTCTGTCTGATCACGCCCCCATCCAAAATGTCTGGCAGATGCATGGTATGTGTGGGGACAGGTATCATCAAAACTGGCGTGTAATTTCAAATGGTAGGTTTTTGGAGTAACCTAGCTGGTTTTTTGGGTGCCATTCATGTGGCCCTCCTGGCCACGTCCGCCAGCAATGCCACGCCAGACGCCCACATCCTGGAAACCTAAGTCATTAGGAATATTAGTATATGCAAGAAAATTGGTATGCTTTTCAGCTGGTCTGCCCCCCCCCCCCCCCCCGGGCTCCTGGTCTAGTAGTGCATGAATTTCATGATGGTAGCGACTTCGTAATTTCTTATAACTGATGCTAGTGAAAGATCATCATCATCAATTTCCCAATATAATTGTCCATTCACTTTTTGGCATAATTCTTGCCAGCAGAGCGGGCTATCCAGCCAGTTCGTGGGTCCCGCCATCATCCTCGAGTTGCTACTGATCTAGCCTTTCCCTTGGTG